AAGTGATTATTTTGTGTTTAAAACTAACTGTTTCAAAAATCACATGGCATAAAATGTTATAAAACAAAATTTCTAAGAATGTCCTCTAAATACTTTCATTTAATGAGAAACAAGCAGGAAACGATAAAACTTTGAAAAATAATTCCTCAAAAATTTCATTCAAATTGTTATAGTTTTTGATGGAAAATGTTGCAAAAAGTTCAAAATTTGGCAGAAGATTTTTTAAAAAAAAATTTCAAAAAACGTTCTCTTAAATGCCCCTAATTGATGAGAAACATTTTCGTTATTAATTTCTACCACCTGCCTAACCTGACTTGCAAAATAAGGATTTTACTGAAAAATTACAAAAAAATCTCAAAATGCTCTAATTTGGTGTGAACAGTTGTTTCAGATTCAGCCATATGGCTCTTTTGTGGCTTTGTTTTTCTTTTCTTCATGATTTCATAAATCCTTTTTCAGGAAAGTCTGGAAAATGCTGTGATTTCAAATTCAAATCATTGCTTTTTCACTTATTCACCTGTATCTCTCAAGTTCACTTGTATGTTTCATACACATTTATATATAACCTAGAACCACTGATGTTTTCCTCTGTCAGACACAGACCTGCTGCAGGACCTGAGCCAGCCCTGTATTGCCCAGAGCAAACTGGAAGCCCTGGTTTCCCAGCAGAGGAAGGATATTGTCCACGCATTGCGGTGTAAGTGTGGAACCATCTGTTCTCTTGTGGACAAACACTCACTCTTACCCACTGAGTACGATCCAGGTCTTAAACATGCAGCCTCTTTTACCTCTCTGACACCACGAGGCTTACACTGTATTTTCTAATGATCTAATCTTGTATGCCATTAGACTGAAGCCTGTGGTGTTCCTGGGAGAGCAGCTGAGTCTTAATTAGGAATGCTAATGTTGCCGTGTTCAGGCCAGACGCATATCTGAAACAACTGATTAGTATTTCTGCTTTGTGTTGCATGTAGTTTGTGTAATCAAACTTGGCAAAAAGACCCTAACTTGCTAGGACACGTGACATGGAAGAGCAGTTCTGTTGTAATGATACTCATTCTGTGCAGGTGAGGACCATCATGCAAGTGGGGTGTTTCACGCCAAACCAGCCAGAACCATTAGACTGACATTGATTTGGCCTTCCTACATTTTGCCAGTGTAGATACTTTCCTATTTAACCATTAATTAACGGTCATTGCGTATTGAGTGCTTTGGTTTAGTCTAGTCGACGGACTCCACGATAAACGCTCACACTGCAGCTACACACCCGGCGGAGAGGCAGATCTAAAATCAGATCTGAAAAGACAGAAATCATACATGAACACAGCTACATACAGTACATGTTGTCTGTGTCGGCTTTACAAATGTTTTACTTGGGTAAAGAAACAAAAAATGGCACAAAATAACTATTATTCGTGAGTCAAGTGGAACTATTTCCTTAGAGGGAACATTTGGTGAAGAAATGATTCTTTTGTATTCAGTATATATATTCAGTTGCTTCTGTTTTTCTATCATACAGTCCCACATGTGAAGTCCGTGGTTTACTCCACCTGTTCTATTTACCCAGAGGAAAATGAGAAGGTGGTTACTGGAGCTGTTGAAGAATTTAAGGCCTGCTCTGAAGGGGAAGGAGAGCCCAAACCAGCAGACTTCAGGTCAGCCTCAGTCTCTGTGTCCCACTGCCCTGGATTCACTTTCTGTCACCGTCACTGTTTTATCACTGTCTGGGTGTCTCAGTGTCTGTCTTCCTGTGGAGTTGTTTGTCTCTTCTTTCAGAAAGTCTCCTGTCTAAGTCTGAGCTCACGACAGGAGAGAAGTGAAGAAGTCTCTCTGTTAAAGGATGATCAAAGGTTTCACTTCCTCTCTCTAAACGCTGTTGAAGGCTGTCTGTCTTTTTACTGAGATATTTTTTATTTTTGGATTTTTGTTTTGGCTGCGTTAATGTTTGGTTGGATTGAAGAACTGGAAAAGTCAGTTGAACATTGAATGCATCGAGACTGACTGTAAAATGTCATTTGACTATTCTTTATTATTTTTATCATTATTTTTAATTTCCTTTTCCTAGTTTTTTTATTTAGAATTTTTTTAAATCATGAGTCTCAACTATTTATTGGATATTTTAAAGTATTTGCCAATCTGCTTAATAATTATTTAACTATAGAAATATAGGGAATCTGTTTCAATAGTTTGTAAATTTAAGGGACTTCAGATTCACCTTGAATAATCCGCTTAGATTAAAATTAAACATTTATAAGGCTTCTGGAAATCAGTGTGAAGTCACACATGGACGCGCTGAAGTGCATTGTGTCGGTGAAACTTTCAAACATCAGAGAAGTACGTTGAAAACTTTGGACAACAGTGCATTAATATTTGATCAAATGTGGGAGGAAAAAAAATCATAGCTTGAAGATCAAAGCCTTTTTTTTCTAACCTTTTCCTGTGATTTTGTCTCGTCTTATATTTTTAGCAGTTGCTAATTGTTTTTACTTCCACACAATATCATGTTTTTCTATTGTGTTTCTTTCATCTAGTCTCACCCCACCCACCTTCATCTCTCCTGACAATGCTGAGGCTCCGGAGAAATCCGATCTTTTCTTCAGGCTGAAGCCTTCGGACCAGAGTAATGGCTGCTTCCTGGCTGTTCTCAGCAGAGAGGTGAGCTTGACTATATCCACATGCTGAACAGAGACTGCACAGTAATTAACACTGATGAGAAGATCTGCATCCCCTGAGTAGGCTTGTACTATTCACCTTAACTATTTAGATCTTCCAGCTCTGGCCATATGTTAATACTTTATGACCTACAAAAATAATAAAAAAAACACTAATGGGACTTTCTTTTTATCTCATCAAATACCAAAGTGAGGTCACAACACATTGTGAAAGGTCACATCAGTCCACCAAGGCTGCAGCTGCTCCACTAATGCAGCGCAGCCAGAGATGAGCAGAGACAAATTTAGCTCATTTTAGGATCCTGTTCTGCCAAATTGCCTGGTCTCCAGTGACAGAACAGTTCCAGCACTGGACTGAACGTGCCACCTAACTGTAGTGATACCAGAGTGATCTTTGGCAGACTGTTGTACCTGCAATAAGTACAATAAGTAACAATGTGTTTTTAAAAAAAACAACAAGACGATGCAGTTAAGAAATAGGCTTCAAGGTGCACAAAATGTCCCCACAAAGACAAGTCTGCCAATGCAATGGCATTTCTCAGAAAAAAAGACCCATTAAGTACAGCTACAGAATGTTCCATCATTCTAGCATACATTAAAAATATTTCCGATGCAAACTACTGGGCTAATGGAGAGGATGAATATGTCATCACACAGCGCTATATGCAGATGGCAGATTTGTTTACATTCATCACTTGTACACCATACATTGGATTGTGCTCCATTCGCTATCTTTTGTTTGTGTTGTTTTTGGGCAGAAATATTGCCCTTCATTATGGCTCCCAGGTGTAATTCAGACTCTTCTGATAATTTTTGTCCTAGATTATGATGTTACCGCTCTGTTAGCCTTAGTGAGTGACATTGGTACTTACGTACAGTATGTGAGTTCCAACTTGCGGCAAAAATGGAGTTACGTGGCGCAGTAGGAATGGAACTCCGATGTAAGACCAGGACCTACTGTACACACAAACACACACAGGGAGGGAGAGGCAGAGTGAGAGAGAGAGTTGAGGTAAAACACTGGCTGGCAGCTTATTTATGTCTGCTGAGACATACACACCGTTGTCCTTCTCGCACTGTTCACTGTGTCCTTTAACCATTGAAAACCATTAAAACTTCACAGTGGTGGAAACAGTCACACAAGATGAGATGAACTGGTCGACCTCAGGATAAATTATTTACAGCAGACTCACACTGTCTTCTGATCTCCATTAAATGTTTTCATTTGATGAGAAACGGTTTGTCTTAACACACGATCGCATCACTTGAAAGACAGGACAGAAGACAAATTAGGACAGAATGACTGAGAAGTCTACACCGCAGCATGAATGGAAGTGTGTCCATAGGAAAGGGGTGCAAAGAGTCTGAATAGAAGTTTAAATCCAGGAAGACAATAGTCCAAGGATAGAAGAGGACACTGGGACAAGTTTAGAAATGTGAGTCAGAATGTAAAGGGAGGACGTGGGGAGACAGGAGCGTGAGGTTGAAATTAAAGTCAGATTCTGACTAAGCAGTTTTAGTTCTTGTCTACTTTTTTTACTTTTTATGTCTTCACAGCTGTTTACATTTCTAGGAAATATGAACTATGAATAATATGAACTATGAAATATGAATATGTTTGATTACTTTATGAAGGTAGATTCATCTTCTAGCGAATTGCAGCAATGTTTAGCTCTCAGGTCCATCACAAGGCCACATATAGAGACACAGTTGTACAGTGGGATTCAGACCTGTGGTGTCATCCTACATGTCTTAGACTTTGGGGGAGTTTCTGGAGAAAAACCATGTAACTGCCATACAGAGAGAGATTCTAGAGATCAGATCGCTGATTTAGCTGCTAACTCTGTGCAGCCCCATTTCTCTTTATGCTACTATAATTATTGCCTCCTCCTCTCTGTCTAGGTTGTAACGTGCTGCAGAGTCTCATCACTGTAACTTGGTCTTCCCCACGTCCCCATAATCGACATCATTGCCATGTTTACTATATTCTCCCTCGCTTTATGAAATGGGAAGCCAGTGCAGGGTTATTAAGCCATGTAACCCTCACTGGGTGTGAATGATCTCTCTCTCTCACTCCCTCTCTCTCTCTCTCTTTCTCTCTCACTCTCCCTCCCTGTGGTGTCTGTTTCTCTCTGACCCTCCATCATGTTTTATACCTCCACAGACAGGAATGAAAAGATAATCAAACTGCTGTAATAGCGCCTCCAACAAGATTTTTTTTCCATCCTTACCTCCAATAAACTCAGCTAATCAAAAGTTATTGTGGCACTCTGGAAAGCACCATAAAAATAGCAATTATATAAGTGTTTGAATGCTGTCTGGCTCACATCGACTGTCGGAGCGGCACCCTTCTTTATGAGCCATCCATACAGCAGCAGCTGGAGACACTAAAAGCTTTCGAGTGACATTCAAGTCCTTTTTCTTTTCCAGCAGAGATTCATAAATTTGTACATCGTCGCTGGCATAGATCGCACGTAATGATTTTAGACAAAACGGAATGGATTAAGCTGTGGCAGATCGGTTTGGCAAAGTGGAGAGAGAAATGATGGATTTACAAAGTATGGCATGGGTAGTGAATGGAGGTGGAGGGGAAGTGAGATTTACAGGGATGACGTGAATAAAGAGAGGAAACAGAGGGTGTCTGTTGAATAATTCAGCGCCTCCTGTCTGTATGAGTAAGCATCAATGAAGTTCAAGGCTACTTTACAGAGGTGTTTCCAAAACTGCCTGCAAGGTGCCTACAGTGCCCAGCGCCTGGAGGATGTGTGCACGAGACCGTAACATTGTATGGAATTGCGCTGTATGTGCGTGGCTGCACCTGTGAGATTAAGGATCACAAATTATACACACATATTGCCAATTAAAATGCAAGTTAACATAAAAACACACATAATTCATACAGGCTGGTCCCTGTAGTGGCCACTGTGCTGGTGAATTATTCACACACTGAGGGGAACTGTGGGCTGCTGCTGAGACAGCAGGTGACCTGCAGCCAGCAGCAAGGACACAGTGGCTCTCCTCTCCTCCTCCTCTCCACCTGACCTCCTGCTCTTTTCCTTCTTCCTCACTCCTCTCCTCTCCTCTTCTCTCCTCTACCCTCAACTACAAGATTTATATAAGCAGATGATGAACCACAGCTCCTCACCTCTCATTGTCCACAGGAGGAGCCGGTGGTCAAAGAGACCCCACAAGAAGTCCTGGCCAGGGCACATGCCAAAGGCATCTTGGACAGGATCGGTTCAGACCAACTTCCAAAGAAAGAACGCCCTGGTCGAAATAACAGAAAGATGAAAACAGCTCACGCTTGTTCGCCTCAGTCTCCTCCTCCTCTGGTTCAGGCAAAACGGCAGGAGTCCTTGGGAAAAATCAGAATGACATTAAATGGTCAACAGTCATCACCAGGTGAGCATTATCTCTACGGTCAGTGGGAATAGAGTTAATGGACCATAAAGTCTTTGGTTTCTTGCTTCTAGAAGATGACTTCTCTGGTGAAGCATCAGTTAACTTTTAACTAGAACTGAGTGAAGCAGCTCGACTAGCTCCATACATTAATTTTTTCCATGATTACTTGAGAAGCTCATTGATGAATAAATGATCATCTGTTTGTTGGATCCACACAAACACTGTTCTTTGTTTACCTTTTGCACCGTGCCCCCTTGGTTCCCTTTGTTTCTGTACTGTGTGCCAACCACCTCCTGGTATATTACTTATTTATATTCACACAGCTTTGAGGATACAGTTTATATTTCATACAGTAGGGGTGGCCTTTTTTTTTTCAAGGATGGCAGTTAAGCATGCCTGAAGGCCAACTGCTCTTACTGTGATACTGTGTAGGAAATACTGTGTAGTTAAGGAACTCACAAATCATATATATATATTTGAAATTAAACCAAAACAAAAAGTGAATCCATAAAATGTCAAAATATTCATAATGTATAATTAAAGTGTTGCTATAGGCTAGAATTAGGTATCATTTGACAAGGAGAAATATTAGCATATAGTTACTCATGAATAAACTTTTACAAGTACTAAAAGTATTTTTGGAAAACTGCACATCCCTAATACTTACAAGACCAGTTAAATTCTTGTACATTTAATTAGCAGTACTTTGTGTTACTATAAGGTAGATAAAGACTTTAGTAAAAGATGAAAATAAAAAAATACATTTTAGAAGTTATTTAATATGCCCTTAATACATTTTCTCTGGCAACAAAAAGTTCATATAAAAATAAATTCTGTGTAGTACTCTATATCAAAAGGAATCAAGTACGCCTTAAATAAAAGAAGCCTGCATGAAATATTTTGGATTTTCATTCATCAGCCTAATTCTCAATTCTCTCTGTGACTGCATTTAAAAGAAAACTTTACTGCCTCTGACTTTTTTACTTTTCTGTCAGTGAAACCCAGAGCTCTGCGCCCCAAAGCCACCAACACCACCGTGTCCAACCCTTTCTCCTCTGAACCAGACGGCTGCTGCACTTCTTTCTCCAAACCAGAAAAAAGCTCACTCCCAAAAACAATGACAGTCGTCCTCAACACCACCTCCACCTCGGCCACCACCACTCTCCATCCCACCTTTTATCCTGGTACACCGGTGATCCGTTCTCGAAAACCTCCTCAGGAGGTTCTGAAGCCTGTGATGCTGGTTCTTCCTCCTGTTCACTTCCCGAACTTCTTCCCTCCCCAGAACAGACGAACAGGATTCAGGCCGAGCGTCAGCAGGTGGAGAACCCAAGGTACGACTGGACCCCTGGCCCGCTCTGGTGGTGGACAGTACAAAGACCTTACAATGAGATCACGTCTCCTGTTCTGAGCTGCTAAAACAGTAACACAGATGTGAAAGAAATAACAAGAACTCACATGAATTCAATTCCTAAAACATTTTAAATGATCTTTCAACATGTAACAAATACATCATTTTTTAAAAATATATACATGTAAAAAAAGGATGAAACAAGCATGCAGACACTGTTTAAAGTACTATTCATTGAAGAGAACTAAAAGTTTCACTTACTCTCTGGATGTGAGGTGGCAACAGGAAGGATCACTACAAAGTCATTATTGCTGTCTATACAGTATGGTAACGAAGAACCTCGCCTTAGGCTCCGGCCAATGTCATTTCACTGTCACTGTATGATAAATGGCTATTACCCAGGATTCCAGTGACCCGGACAAATTAAGAGGACTTACCGAAGAGCCTTTTTATTTATGCATTTATTGTCACAACAGATTACATTTACATGGTGTAGAGATGAGTGAAGAACAGAAGTGACACGGGCGACAGGGTCTCTGGGTTTGTAGTGTAAATGTGAATTTTGTTCTGTATCGACTGCATTCTCATTCGAGTTCACGTGGAGTGCAGACGATGGCTCCGAGCTATAGGAGCAGAAGGTTGTGAAGTTTTCCACGGTGGTGACAGCAGACATTTATATTCCACCTGCTGTATGTGCACATTTGTGGGAGTATATTTGTCTGTGAATGGAGGCCGATCTACCGAGTGAGAAGAGCGGCGGTTAACTCTTTTTTTTTTTAGTCATCTCACCTGTGCTTTCTGAGCAGGGCCAACATTCATCTTACTGTCAGGAGCTCGTCACATCTGCTAAGGCCAAACCCTGGAGCTTTACTGTCTTGCTACTACATACAGTATACATCCTGTAAATGCAAAAAGTTTCCTGAGGAGATCATACAGACAAAAACAACATGACATTCTTGATCTTTTGCTCTCGTATAGTTTTCTTACTTATTGATGCAAATCAAAATCAACAGTTGTGACTAATTTGAAGGTTGAAAATACTTTCAAAACTGTTATATATTCTTTCACTGTTGCAACCATTCAATAATTAAATTAATCAGGGATCGTTATTTACCACTTAGACAAAATGGCGAGCAAAGTATTACTTTTTTAGATATGAATTAAAATGTTTTTTTTCAAAATCAAATAAACGTAATGAGTTGTGCTATGAACGTTCGCTTCTTCTGTCTTAATGACCGCACCTCGACGTCTGCTAGCTCATTAACATGAAAAATAAACAGCTTCCGTTAAGAAAACATGCACATTTAAAACCCACATCTGTCTTCTCTCACCTCGGCTTCATATCTACAACACTTGTGCCCTGAATTCTCTCTCTCTCGTTCTACATCGTCATTCACAGTCACGTCAGGTGAAAATCTCAAGAGTTATTATTTTTTTTCTCACACATCTTTAGGATCAAAACATCTCATGTCATTTGATGGACAGCTCTTGTCTATCGCTTGTGTTTTTTTTCTCTCATTTACCATCAGACACTTGTTCTTCTTCTGTAAGGCTCCTGGAGGTGAGCATCTCGGTGTTCTGGTCCAGGAGCTCTTATCCTGCTGATGATTGTGTTTTACAGAGGGAGAGTGGGGGAGTTGGGGGATGGTGAGGGGCAGAGGAGGGATTGAGCCATCACACAAACCAATCGATTTTTTTTTTCTGGATGATCCTCTCTTTAGAGAACTTGATCACATAACCCGACAGGTGTTTCCCACCTGGACACAGCAGTGTTCAAGGGTCAAAGTTCAACCAGTTACAGCAGCAAACACACTGCAGGTTTTCCATCCTTCCTCATGATACAGGCATATATAATTAAGTCCTTTTTTCCAAATTTTTTCAGATGAAGTTCTCGAGGTCTTCCGTTTTTTTCTCATCATCCACCATGGCGTTCGTTTACATGTATGTACATCACTGCTCTTCATGGCTGGTACTGATATCAGGTGGTGTTGTTGTTGTGGTGGCAGAGTGAGTGACATCCAGGCTGAGTGCTACAGTGGTCGGTGCTAGGGCAGCTCCGATGGCTGTTTCTTGGTTTTCAAAGTGTCTATGAGAGACTGGACGCCACGCTTCACGCTGGTAGTCACCCGCCGGGTCACAGAGTCTGCTGAAGGGGAGGAGGAGGAGCCAGCACGCTGGGAGGGTGGCCGTGCCACCAGACACTTTTGATACCGCAGCTGGAGCAGAAGAAGATGAGAGTGGGGGAGGGGTGGGATCAGCAGACAGCTGACTATGTCTCATAATAATATTAATAATGTTGTTTCTGTCCAAACCCGGTACAATATTGAATCTAAATAAAGCTCACCTTAAAGTTTGCTAAAGGTTTGTATTTTTAACATTTTTTCCTGACAAAATATTACTCAAAGACATCAAACTTCAAAATTCACATACTTTTGTTGTACTGCCATCTCATAGGTTCACTGTATTTCGAAAATATTCTAAGTGAGCTATTACCCTGCCGTACATAATGGATTTACTTATTTTAAGAAATGCACACGTGAATATTGACATTGGATCAGTTAATGAAGCTCACCACACATGCTGCCTGCACAGCCTCAGACACACAGCCTGCATTCGGGTCACACCAAAACGCATGGCACTGGAAGTGCTGATTCCCAGTGTCCATGATGAAGGCAAACGTGTGAACATCCCGTCCAATGCCCATGAAGGACAAGAATCGGACCCGGCATTCCACCAGTGCCTCTTCATCCTCTTCCTACAGGAGCATCAAAGGAAAGAACACAGCTCCTTCACTGGAAAATTCATATCATTTATTATTTTTCTTCCTGTAGGAAATACTTGGAGAAACTCTCTTGCCTTTTCTTTGATCACAGCCACAGTAGTATCAGCAATACTCAGGATGACAGGAGTCCAGTCGTCTTTGCCTGTGGAGGTCACCAGGCTGTCGATGGCCCCGTTTATAACGTCCATACCTGAGAAGTCAACAAACACATGCAAAAGTCAGGCAGTGGGAGGTCATATTTCCTAAAAGGAAACACATCAGGTATGTGTGTGCGTCTGCACAGATTTCTTTTACAATCAGCTGACTTTTACCTATAGGTCGAGACACGGAAGTCATTCCCAGATACATAACATGAAACTTCTGCACCAGCTCCGTCTTTGGCATGGGAAATTCTGCACAGAAAATCAAACACAAACCATTATTTAAGGCACAACTGTAAACTCTGTTTTTTAAAAAATAATTTACAATATAGTGTCTTCTAATACATTCTCTCTTTTAACCAGTAAATGACTGTTACATATGTTAATGCTTAAAATATATTGACAATTGTTTCACTGATAGGAAATATCCAAAAACATTAAACCTCAATCTGGGACGGTGTATTTTTTTTAGCTTGCAGGTTTTAGTCCAATTCACTTTGGAATGACTGGAAATCCAACGGCCAAGAACCTTTAACAGGACAATAACAGAATTTCTAAATGTAAAACTAAAGGTTCAGGCTATTTACAGCTTTAAGAGACACAGGGGATGTTTTACAACTACGTTCTTTGATCCTGGGCTTGAGATGGGCACCGTGGGTAGAAGGAGGGCTTGCCTCAGAGAAACTCTAATTGGGTTTTAATGAGGTCAACTGCGTATGTAAATTAAGGGCTGGAACTGCTTCCTTCATTTCATCCTTCATCCTTTTCATTTTCTGACGCTGATGCTCTTCCCCGCATAATATCTGCAGATAGCATTTAGCAAAATTAGCAACAGAGAAGAAAGTCAGTGTAGAGTTAGCTTTATCTGAAGCTTGACTGTAACGGTGGAGAGAGGTGGGGTGAGGTTTGAGGTTTAACATCCTGTATATGTAATTGAACCAACAGTTATCTTTTCTATTAAATATGGTAACAGTGTCTCTGAAGGGGGGGGGAAAGATAATTAAAAAAACATACAAGGTCTGAATATGGGGGAATTGCAATACGTGAGCAGAGGCACTGCATCAAGAAAGAGCGCAGGGCTGACAAAGGTCTGTCACTAGGGAGCTGCTGGGAGTGTGTGTGTGCCTGTGTGTGTGTACCTTGGAGGGGTAAATCAGAGCTGGTCTGGGCGGAGCTGCCAGCTGCAGCCTTGGCACTTTTCCTTTCAGCCATAATCTAACATGGAGAAAGAGAAAAAAAAAAGAAGGAACAAGGGATAAAAACCTCGGAGGAGGGAGGGAGAAAATAAGACAAAAAATACCCCCCACCCACACACACACACAAAAAAACTGACAGTTATAGAAATGGAAGTAATCGACGTTTAAATCACAGCCGGGTGTCTGAGACGCAGCAGTAAAACCAACGTAGTTCAGGTGAATGCGTAACATTTAAAGGGCACAACTGGCTTCATCCTCTATTTTCTTTTACTACCGTTAATAAATCACATAAAAACAACAGTGTAATTGTCAGTTACACAATATTTTTCCCCAGCTTTGCTCGAGGCTCCGAGCCAAACCTATTATGTTTTAATAACGAGACACAAAAACAGACTTTGGTTCTTTTAAAAAATGCTAAACAAAAACAACAACAACAGATTGCTGAAAATCTGAAGTCATAAACGACGCTGAGGATGAGAAATATGTTAATGGTTTTGTCACACGTATAAAAATAATTACGCGTTTTATTCTTCAAAATGTTGTATTGCAAATGACACTGGGCGAACGTGGGTGTGAAAATAAAATGTGCTGTTCTGCCTCCTGTGGTCGTTTCTGCTGCAGTGACCCCCCGTCACCCCAACACGCTGCATCACCGTCCCTGCACTGAGCCACTGCACCCTCGTCCACAGACACTTGATTAATTGTTAGTGTCATTAATCAAAGTCTGTGGTGAGTCCGCAACTTTGCTCACTGGGGGAACATACGGGGAAGAAACACACGCACACACACACAGACACACACACAAAGGTTTTTTTTAATCAAAATACCAAATGTCAAAATTTAGGCATACCTAAAAAGTACATTTTTTCTGAATTTTAACAACAGAAATGGACATAGCTAAGTATTTTAAGGCAAATGAGTGTATTTTTAGTCATTTTTGAGAAACTTTTTTTTCCGGAGATTTGTTCAGGAATTTACTGGTATAGGATTCTACTGTGATCAAAAGTTGACGTACCAAAAAAGTTTATTTTTTCTGAATTTTAACAACAGAAATGGACATAGCTAAGTATTTTAAGGCAAATGAGTGTATTTTTAGTCATTTTTGAGAAACTTTTTTTTCCGGAGATTTGTTCAGGAATTTAGTGGTATAGGATTCTACTGTGATCAAAAGTTGACGTACCAAAAAAGTTTATTTTTTCTGAATTTTAACAACAGAAATGGACATAGCTAAGTATTTTAAGGCAAATGAGTGTATTTTTAGTCATTTTTGAGAAACTTTTTTTTCCGGAGATTTGTTCAGGAATTTAGTGGTATAGGATTCTACTGTGATCAAAAGTTGACGTACCAAAAAAGTTTATTTTTTCTGAATTTTAACAACAGAAATGGACATAGCTAAGTATTTTAAGGCAAATGAGTGTATTTTTAGTCATTTTTGAGAAACTTTTTTTTCCGGAGATTTGTTCAGGAATTTAGTGGTATAGGATTCTACTGTGATCAAAAGTTGACGTACCAAAAAAGTTTATTTTTTCTGAATTTTAACAACAGAAATGGACATAGCTAAGTATTTTAAGGCAAATGAGTGTATTTTTAGTCATTTTTGAGAAACTTTTTTTTCCGGAGATTTGTTCAGGAATTTAGTGGTATAGGATTCTACTGTGATCAAAAGTTGACGTACCAAAAAAGTTTATTTTTTCTGAATTTTAACAACAGAAATGGACATAGCTAAGTATTTTAAGGCAAATGAGTGTATTTTTAGTCATTTTTGAGAAACTTTTTTTTCCGGAGATTTGTTCAGGAATTTAGTGGTATAGGATTCTACTGTGATCAAAAGTTGACGTACCAAAAAAGTTTATTTTTTCTGAATTTTAACAACAGAAATGGACATAGCTAAGTATTTTAAGGCAAATGAGTGTATTTTTAGTCATTTTTGAGAAACTTTTTTTTCCGGAGATTTGTTCAGGAATTTAGTGGTATAGGATTCTACTGTGATCAAAAGTTGACGTACCAAAAAAGTTTATTTTTTCTGAATTTTAACAACAGAAATGGACATAGCTAAGTATTTTAAGGCAAATGAGTGTATTTTTAGTCATTTTTGAGAAACTTTTTTTTCCGGAGATTTGTTCAGGAATTTAGTGGTATAGGATTCTACTGTGATCAAAAGTTGACGTACCAAAAAAGTTTATTTTTTCTGAATTTTAACAACAGAAATGGACATAGCTAAGTATTTTAAGGCAAATGAGTGTATTTTTAGTCATTTTTGAGAAACTTTTTTTTCCGGAGATTTGTTCAGGAATTTAGTGGTATAGGATTCTACTGTGATCAAAAGTTGACGTACCAAAAAAGTTTATTTTTTCTGAATTTTAACAACAGAAATGGACATAGCTAAGTATTTTAAGGCAAATGAGTGTATTTTTAGTCATTTTTGAGAAACTTTTTTTTCCGGAGATTTGTTCAGGAATTTAGTGGTATAGGATTCTACTGTGATCAAAAGTTGACGTACCAAAAAAGTTTATTTTTTCTGAATTTTAACAACAGAAATGGACATAGCTAAGTATTTTAAGGCAAATGAGTGTATTTTTAGTCATTTTTGAGAAACTTTTTTTTCCGGAGATTTGTTCAGGAATTTAGTGGTATAGGATTCTACTGTGATCAAAAGTTGACGTACCAAAAAAGTTTATTTTTTCTGAATTTTAACAACAGAAATGGACATAGCTAAGTATTTTAAGGCAAATGAGTGTATTTTTAGTCATTTTTGAGAAACTTTTTTTTCCGGAGATTTGTTCAGGAATTTAGTGGTATAGGATTCTACTGTGATCAAAAGTTGACGTACCAAAAAAGTTTATTTTTTCTGAATTTTAACAACAGAAATGGACATAGCTAAGTATTTTAAGGCAAATGAGTGTATTTTTAGTCATTTTTGAGAAACTTTTTTTTCCGGAGATTTGTTCAGGAATTTAGTGGTATAGGATTCTACTGTGATCAAAAGTTGACGTACCAAAAAAGTTTATTTTTTCTGAATTTTAACAACAGAAATGGACATAGCTAAGTATTTTAAGGCAAATGAGTGTATTTTTAGTCATTTTTGAGAAACTTTTTTTTCCGGAGATTTGTTCAGGAATTTAGTGGTATAGGATTCTACTGTGATCAAAAGTTGACGTACCAAAAAAGTTTATTTTTTCTGAATTTTAACAACAGAAATGGACATAGCTAAGTATTTTAAGGCAAATGAGTGTATTTTTAGTCATTTTTGAGAAACTTTTTTTTCCGGAGATTTGTTCAGGAATTTAGTGGTATAGGATTCTACTGTGATCAAAAGTTGACGTACCAAAAAAGTTTATTTTTTCTGAATTTTAACAACAGAAATGGACATAGCTAAGTATTTTAAGGCAAATGAGTGTATTTTTAGTCATTTTTGAGAAACTTTTTTTTCCGGAGATTTGTTCAGGAATTTAGTGGTATAGGATTCTACTGTGATCAAAAGTTGACGTACCAAAAAAGTTTATTTTTTCTGAATTTTAACAACAGAAATGGACATAGCTAAGTATTTTAAGGCAAATGAGTGTATTTTTAGTCATTTTTGAGAAACTTTTTTTTCCGGAGATTTGTTCAGGAATTTAGTGGTATAGGATTCTACTGTGATCAAAAGTTGACGTACCAAAAAAGTTTATTTTTTCTGAATTTTAACAACAGAAATGGACATAGCTAAGTATTTTAAGGCAAATGAGTGTATTTTTAGTCATTTTTGAGAAACTTTTTTTTCCGGAGATTTGTTCAGGAATTTAGTGGTATAGGATTCTACTGTGATCAAAAGTTGACGTACCAAAAAAGTTTATTTTTTCTGAATTTTAACAACAGAAATGGACATAGCTAAGTATTTTAAGGCAAATGAGTGTATTTTTAGTCATTTTTGAGAAACTTTTTTTTCCGGAGATTTGTTCAGGAATTTAGTGGTATAGGATTCTACTGTGATCAAAAGTTGACGTACCAAAAAAGTTTATTTTTTCTGAATTTTAACAACAGAAATGGACATAGCTAAGTATTTTAAGGCAAATGAGTGTATTTTTAGTCATTTTTGAGAAACTTTTTTTTCCGGAGATTTGTTCAGGAATTTAGTGGTATAGGATTCTACTGTGATCAAAAGTTGACGTACCAAAAAAGTTTATTTTTTCTGAATTTTAACAACAGAAATGGACATAGCTAAGTATTTTAAGGCAAATGAGTGTATTTTTAGTCATTTTTGAGAAACTTTTTTTTCCGGAGATTTGTTCAGGAATTTAGTGGTATAGGATTCTACTGTGATCAAAAGTTGACGTACCAAAAAAGTTTATTTTTTCTGAATTTTAACAACAGAAATGGACATAGCTAAGTATTTTAAGGCAAATGAGTGTATTTTTAGTCATTTTTGAGAAACTTTTTTTTCCGGAGATTTGTTCAGGAATTTAGTGGTATAGGATTCTACTGTGATCAAAAGTTGACGTACCAAAAAAGTTTATTTTTTCTGAATTTTAACAACAGAAATGGACATAGCTAAGTATTTTAAGGCAAATGAGTGTATTTTTAGTCATTTTTGAGAAACTTTTTTTTCCGGAGATTTGTTCAGGAATTTAGTGGTATAGGATTCTACTGTGATCAAAAGTTGACGTACCAAAAAAGTTTATTTTTTCTGAATTTTAACAACAGAAATGGACATAGCTAAGTATTTTAAGGCAAATGAGTGTATTTTTAGTCATTTTTGAGAAACTTTTTTTTCCGGAGATTTGTTCAGGAATTTAGTGGTATAGGATTCTACTGTGATCAAAAGTTGACGTACCAAAAAAGTTTATTTTTTCTGAATTTTAACAACAGAAATGGACATAGCTAAGTATTTTAAGGCAAATGAGTGTATTTTTAGTCATTTTTGAGAAACTTTTTTTTCCGGAGATTTGTTCAGGAATTTAGTGGTATAGGATTCTACTGTGATCAAAAGTTGACGTACCAAAAAAGTTTATTTTTTCTGAATTTTAACAACAGAAATGGACA